GTTGGTCCCCCGGACCCATTCTCCTTTCATGAGAAAACTGGGCCCCTCGTGTTGCGGAGGGACTTTTGCATGGATCCTAGCGTGTCAACTTTTGCCGGAACATCCTTGATGGCTTTAAAGTGTTGTTTTTTTCCTGGTCCTAGGAACAGGAAGACTGGCGGAAACAAGACTCGTTGCGCGACAGTCTTCACCGGCCCCCGTCGTCCGCCCTGCCTTGTCGCGACAGACTCCGTGCCGTCGTCGCCTCCGTGGAGCCGATGTCCAGGTCCCTTCGCTGGTCCTGGTGAGGCGGGACGAGACGACCGCGACGACCGGAACGGAGATGGCGCGTCCGTTGTTGTTGGAGCGCAGATCGGCGGAGGAGACCGAACGAGATCGCAGGTGATGAGGTTCCCCCCATTTTCGAGTGCAACTATCGAGCTTGGGGGGAGTCCATATTTAGTTGGCTTCTGTTGAGCCCAGATTCCCAGAATTGGTTGAAGGGAAAATCGACAGAAAAGCCATCATTCTGGTGGTAAAACATGGGTGTCATGCAGATTATTCATTGACAGATATGATCGACCATAGAACTTTCTTTGAGGATGCTTTTTCTATTATGTTTCTTGGATGCTTGTTTGAAAAAGGGTTGAGGGTGTTTGGATTGAATTGGAAATAGAACTAACCCATGTCCACTGAACGGTTGCCAAACAGAACACATTTCATTGCTCTTTGGACATGCGCACCACAGCAATTGTGGGCGTCTCTCCCATTTTGCGGAGGCCCATGAACTTGCGGAAGAGACCCTTGAGATCCTTATGTCTTTTTGCATTCTTGGCAGGCAAGGCCCACCATCTTTCATCGGCTGCTCGAATCAGATTTTGCTTGCTTTAGCATCGGCTGCGTATTCGAGCAGCTTTCCGTTTCTTTTCCAAGATCAAAACGTGTTTGCAATATGTTGCTTGTACAGGTGCCTAAGAGGCATCGATCTGGTCGACGGTCTATTTGATAAGCGTACCTGCGTGATCCCCTAACCACTTGGACGATACCTTTCCTTTGCTCCAGCTTACAGCAACGCAGTGGTAGGGGCCTCCATATCTATACCGGTGTGTCAAGCTAGAGTACACTGGAACAAATGCAAGGGAATCGGAATTGGATGCGTGATAGATTCTGGGCAAATTCGAGCAGGCAATGCCTTCCTCCTTCTTATTCATCCAGATGTGCCAGATGCCTAGCATTTCGAAGGACGACGGCAAAAGCCGGTCCTGCAGAGGTCGTGGAGAATGGTGGGTTGCATTGGTTTCAATACAGAGATCAGGTACACGTGCGGTATACGCAATATAATATATAGTATATAGTTATATGGTATTTACATATCAGTTAATGATGTTATATACACCGGTGAAAACTAACATTTTCGCCAACAACTATATCTTTTTTGGCATATGTTAGTCTAGTTTCCAAGCGGACACCGTTGAGACTAACCTAGACCAAATTCAGATGTGCCATGGTGGGCCCTACGGGTACTTGGCATGGTCCATGTTAGCCTCCACCGGGCTATGTTGATCTTTACCGGCGCGGTCTATGTTAGCCTGCGTTCAGTTTATAGTCAGATTGCAGTTGGTCCATGTTAGTGTCAAAATCGATCATAGACTGAGAGTGGGAACGGTCCATGTTAGTGAGAGTCCAGAAATTGCCAAAAAAAGCGCTAATACCGTTTCCCCAGGAAGTCGCCGTTTCCAGTGGTCCATGTTAAAGCGCACTTGAAATTGAGTTCTGGTCTATGTTGTTTTTCCCCGGAGTATATATATATATATGCACGTGTATACTATCCACCCTTTGCTCTGGTTTGTTTTAATGCTGCTTTTCACACTGGCTGACATTCCTCGGACTCTGGTGCCCAACTGGTCCATGCTGATTCAGTTTCATTCAGTTCCTAAATGTATACAGTACTATATAGTACTATAATACTGTATAAACCTACCTGGTGGTTGAAACATGTTTGAGTCCTTGAGCGTACGTGACACATGAGTTTGGAGGTTAAACACTCTCAACCAATCACCACTTCGTTTGATGTGTCTTCACACCACTCCTGCAAGTCACTGGTCTTTCGGTGCTTTTGTTGGGATCTCTACTGGTTGGTCTTGGTGTTTTTGGGATCCAACGGCGAGACTTGGCGGCGCAAGAGAACTCCGCGCCACCCAGGCGCAGCGCCTGGCTGGGGCACTGGCCCCGTCAGCTGGGTGTCGAACGCCCAAGATCGGGGCCGGTTGGGGGTTGGAGGGCCGGTCGTGGCTTTAAACCGAGAGTACACGGTTGATATGAAACAAACCTGTAGATAATAATAGCATAAAGCATAATAATGACCTATAGTTGATGACAAACAACTTGGACATGAGAAGAGTGCCCTTGCATGAATCTCGACTTGGCTGAGAAGCCTGATGCTTGAAGTTGCTATAGGACTTGTAGGACATTCTATTTTTGCATACTGAGATGGCTTGCGGTCGCTTTTTTTGCACACACAACAGGAGCTAGAGCTTTGCTGTTCCAAGCAGATCACAAGACTGATACTGTAAAAGGTCATCATAGAATTCACTATTGACGTTTAAGAGTATCTTCCAAATTTCTAGCCATCGAATAAGCAACCACGCAAACGCAAGGATGAATAGAAACCCACCAGACAACAGCCCAGCAATAGACACCAGATGACACCAGTGCCAGAAGAGACCGTCAAGCAAGTAAGATCCCTGATGAGGCGCCCGCATGCATTCAGGCCAAACTCTTGAGTTTCTACGAGACGCCCACATCTTAGAGATGTCCGGTCGAACGAAGAAGGGCGGGCGCACCCTTCACGGCATCGACGGGCAGAACAGGTATTCGACTCAAGTAAACTTGCACGGTGCCTGTTGCGAAAGAGCAATGTGTTTGGATGGACGCGGACGCTGCACGTGTGAGGAACATGGTGTCCGCGTTTCCCGAGCATGCGCAGAAGTTCTTGTTTGGGCCACAGCTGATTCAGCCGGAAACTGCGAACAAGCAAGCACCGGCGTCAGCCAAAGACCAGGGCACAATTCGTGAAGGTTGCAACAATAGCTGAGAGTTGTTGTTGACCCTTCTATCAAGCACCCATGCAGTTCCAACCAACATATGTCAGGATGGCTGGACGGGATGGTATTTTTGTGTGATGTTTGAGGATAGTGGTAAGTTCATGTAAGTTCTTGTTCTTGTGAGACTGGATGCCACTCTATGACTAGTAGTGCAAGAGAGGCTCTATGTGAAGTCTCACGTCGGAAAATGAACCACAGACATCACCAGACCCAGTGGTTTGGTTTTCGGATGGAGAAATATCGGGAAATCTCGGCTCAGGAGGCTGATTTGTTTCTAAAGGGATGGGAGCAAAAACTCTCCGACTCTCCGACTCTTTGGTTTGGAGGGTATTGATGCATATAGCATGTTGCAATAGAAGCGATGGCCTCCAACCTACTAGCGATGGCCTCCAACCTACTAGCGATGGCCTCCAACCTACTAGCGATGGCCTCCAACCTACTATCGCCTAGTAGCAATGGCCTCCAACCTGCTAGCGATGGCCTCCAGCCTAATAGCCATGGCCTCCAACCTACTAGCGATGGCCTCCAACCTACTAGCGATGGCCTCCGACCTACTAGCGCCTAGTAGCAATGGCCTCCAACCTGCTAGCGATGGCCTCCAATCTAATAGCCATGGCCTCCAACTTACTAGCGATGGCCTCCAACCTACTAGCGATGGCCTCCAAACTACTAGCGCCTAGTAGCAATGGCCTCCAACCTGCTAGCGATGGCCTCCAACCTAATAGCCATGGCCTCCAACCTACTAGCGATGGCCTAGCGATGGCCTCCAACCTACTAGCGATGGCCTCCAAACTACTAGCGCCTAGTAGCAATGGCCTCCAACCTGCTAGCGATGGCCTCCAACCTAATAGCCATGGCCTCCAACCTACTAGCGATGGCCTAGCGATGGCCTCCAACCTACTAGCGATGGCCTCCAACCTACTAGTATCCTCATTCTTTTTTGGAGGTTTTTGGAATAGCCTGACACCGAAAGCACCGAAAATAGGCCCTGGCAGTTGGTCCAGTGGCTTCAGCAGGCGAAGTTGGGCGGGCGCGTGGCAAGGCGCCGAAGCCGACAGACACCAGAGATCTCGAACGGGGGCAATGGGATCTCGCCTCCAACACCTGTGTGTGTGTGTGTGTTTTTAAGGGGGTCTTTGTTGGCACCTGTAGCTAAGAGGAAGAGTTGAAGCTCGTGGCGCCCGTTGGCACTTTTTGTTCACACCGGTGGTGTTGTATCAACTATGACCTCAGTTCCAGGGCACCTGTGATGGTCCGGGTACCTTGACTTTTTGGACTCCTATGGAGGTCCTCTGTGAGAACTGAGCTCTCCATCTGCATCAGGGGCAACTGGCCGAAGCCTTGGCTTCCGACTGGCTGGTGGGCCTCTATGAGGCACAACGCGGCATGTTTGGATCTTTGATGATCTACACTTTGGACGTTTTACATGGGGCATACTGTGTTTGTTGTGCTCACAGATTCACTGACCGACCGACGTGAGATGATAAACATTGGATGTTTCGACCCATTCCACAACAGGCTGCCAGAGACTACAAGTGTGTGGGTGGCATGCTCTTTCCCGTTTTTTGCTTTGCCTACTGGCTTGGGACCCTGGGTGTGGCGCATCTGTCGCGTGTTCGTGTTCATGTCCGAAAGTCTTGCTGACTGGCGGGTTTCCCCACTGAGCAAGGGGGTCCGGTCTGACCATTTGCCCGAGATCACTGACCAAACCGATCATTATGACGTGTACAGTACAGTGTACACAACACAACACTGGTTGTCAAATGTTGTTCCCTTCAAAACCAGGCTAGCTTGCTGCAACCCTGTGTACTCATCAGCAAGCGACCTGGGGTTTCTTGGATTGCATCAGTTGCTGACTGTGCGACCAAGGCCATTCTTGATGCTGACTCTATTGATCGCAGGCAGCGCAGTTTAGTTGACCTTAGTGAATTATGTTTGTGGCAGGGTTCCTGATGAACTTTGCCTTGTATTTTTCAGGATTCTGGTGTGCTTTCTCAAGTTTTCTAAAATGGACAACGCTTCAACAGCATCCCGCAATGACAGTTGAAAGCTTTATATAGTAGCTGATGAAAGCGTGAACAAAGTTCTGTTTCCTTCCAATGACCTAGTAACCTAGATCCCATCCAAGCAGACACCACTTCTGTTTGTCGCCTCAGGGGTGCTTCCTGCGCAGAAGGTGGAGGATGATGCTGTGTCCTTGTCCCAGTTGAGGCATGTGGTGAGAGGAGTGGTGAGAGAAGAACCAACAGAAAGGTTGATGACCAATCGGACATTTGATCATATTTGATCACAATTTGTCATTTGGAACTTTCAACAGATCCTATAACCCTTGTCAGTACCTGGAGATTGAAGGGGCATGCCTTGAGAATGTGCTTTGATGGGCCGACGATGGAGGCCTTGAACTAGCCACACGGTACATGAATGAGGTATGTGGAACATTGGTAAAGGTAATGCGCTCATGGTTCAAAGTGTTCACTCCCATCAACGATCATCCTAGAGGGGATGGTCGCCATGGACTATGGTTTGCTCTCTCATTGATGTTCACCGGTGTGCAGATGATATTCAGATGATATATTCTATACGCATCAATCATCACCTTTGCCAAGCGGTCCAGGCTCCAAATCCTTTTGGTGATCTCCCTGCTTATGGCGGGCATTGTGGGCGGCGTCGTTTGGAGGCTTCCACCGGGGACCTCGAACTTGAAGTTTTCGGTTGGATCGAAATCCACGGTCATTGCCGTAATTGCAAATTATTGCTTTTTAGGAACACTTTCAGGACCGACTTCGAAAGTGGAAACGAGAAGATCGGAAAAAGAACAGGACCTGCTTGGCACTCCCAGCATAGTCGACTCGTTATCACCCCTTGAGTTTCAATGATTCAGCGAAGTCTTTTCACCTCAAGTGATGTTTGCTTGATGCTAGAAAGATCTTTTGTTGATCTGTAATATTGTTTAATCATTTGATTCGCCAAGTTCATTTGCTTCAGCAGCTGGAGGTCCTACTCCTCTCATGGCTTGGGTGAGCTGCAGTGGTGAGAGAGTTCGTCCGTCGTCAGAACCAACTGCCATGGGTCAAAGTCTACCCGGTGGCAGCTGGCAAGGCTGGTGGACATGAGGAACAGTGTCTCAGCAAAGAAAACAACAACAAAAAGGTAGAGGCGGCGGAAGGGTGCTTCTGGGGCGTATGCCAAGACCAGCAAGAGTTTCTACATTGACATGTTACTACTACCGTACTACCCGTCATCCAATGCCAGTGACGGAGGGAGACAATGTCCCGTGGTTTTAAAGGAATGATCAGGAATGGGCACAGAATGTGATTTTCAGGTCCCACCACTGTTTCAACGCAGGGCCAGCTGTGGTTGCTCACTCAAGCTGACTCCAGAATAAGACCCAGGCCCAGGTGGAGTCCTTTTTGGCTGAGGGGCTTGCCAGACCGGGGTTGGGAGCTGAAGGTGATTGGATGGTTGTCATGTCCCGACTATCACCTACTTGGTCTTTCTTTGCTTTTGGATGATTTTCCCACGTTCACACCGTCAGCTTGTTCTGCATCAGCTCAGATTGCACTCTGAAGCGTGCAGTGAAGTGTGTATTGTGATCAAAGAATGCTCAGGTTGAGAAGCTGACGTTTATAATCAAGTTGTGTTCACTGCTATCATACTAGCATCAACTTGCCTTAGCTTCGCATCATCACAAGCAGTGGGCAAGAGACTGTCATTGGCTAGACGGACTTCGGTGCAAAGCCATGGCCGCAACAGATGAGACAGGAGTCAGAGACTTTGGGTCTCGCGTCAAACAGCACAGCTGAACATGTGAGCTATGACATTCAAAAGATCTTGCAAGCCATCAAATCATGTTTATGATTTATGACATGAGTAATAAAAATGGTGGTTTTAACTGAATTTGTGCAAGGATTTCTTATTGCAGTGCATCAGTGTTTTTGGTGTATAAATATGTGTGTATATATATAAAGAGAGAGAGGTAGGGAAACATCTTACCGCATTGGCTGCCGGTCAAATCCAAAAAAAGCAGGGCAACTTGTGATGGGTCATTATTTTTCCCTCGTGCAGGGTTGATCAAGCGCCCGCCCCCAGGATAGAGGCTTGAAATAGCGGTAATAGTAATACGCTGGTAGTAGTACGGCCAGGAGCCCGGAGCCCCTAATAGGCTGCATTTAGGTACTACTAACGTGATGGAAAACAGCCATGGGCTGATCTTATGGGGAACTTCAGGAGCTTTGTTTCATCCCTCACAGGTTCCCCGGTGCCTAAGGATTTGCGCTTCCGAGGGAAGCAGCCCGGGGAAGCCGCTGACGATGCTAGGCAGTCGTGGGTCCAACGGGCCGTTTCGGAAAGGGTTGGTCAGTGGCACACCGTGAGCAGGTCGGGGCAGCTCACACAGTGGGGTAGAAGATGGGCCAACAATGGCCAAGGTGGAATTGAATCCCAGGGATGGGTCATTCATCAACAGTTAGCATATGTTAGCATTATTTGTTCTGGGACTTTCATGCTTTGACTAATTTGTAGACGCGTCCAGTTCGATCAAATTGAGCTGCAACTTGCCCATGTGTATCCTTGTGCGTGCACTCATCTCTGAAGACAGGGTGTTCTGTTCCCATTGAACAGAACAGTGATGGGAAAATGAAGGCGGCAAATGTGAAGCAAACAATCTTTGACAGGGTTGCAGTGATCCCATCAGGAATCAGGGTTGACGGGGTTGAACATGTACCGATCAGAACAGTGATGGTTCGTTTTTTTTTTGTGATTTGGGGATCACTGCAAACCCTCGGTACGGACCATCAAACTGTACGGACTGGTCCAGTTCTGCAAACCATACTGCGGAACTGAATCCGAAGCTGCAGCTGCACATGGATTCCAAGGTGTGAATTCCAAGCACATGCAGTTCATCCACATTGATTCCACCTTGAGAGATGGGTATCACACGCCTTGCTTGCCCAATCGCCTTTGCTTGCAGTCGTGGATTTCAGAAGACAGAGTCGGGCTTGCAATACAAGGCCCTCGGCGAAGCGAATTCTTTGGGATGCTTGAGACAGAGAGTGACACAACCAGCGGCTTTTGAGACACAGACCAGATGGCTGATGGCAATTCCAACATCTCCTTCCCCGTTGAGAAACAAACATTTGTGGAATTGCCATTGTACTTGCTGTATTAGTTGTACTTTGGACGCGGTAGGACGCGTGTTTATGTTGGGTTCGATGAGTTGTTTTTCTGGATGTTTGGACATGAACTTGAACCAATAGCAGTTCATTCGCTGAGGTACAAGAATACCGGTTCCATCCTTTTTTCCTGATTCCCACCATTCGCTGAGGTACAAGAATACAGTACATCCCGTTTCCATCCTTTTTCCCTGATTCCGACCATTTGGCTGGGGTACAAGCAGAATTCCCGGCATTCCTGCGCTTTTCCACACCGTTGGGGTTCGCGAATGAATTTTTGCCAGGTCGTGAAGAGCAATCCCTCCGGAGAGAGGCAGGAGCCGCTTTTTTCAAGCGAGGAGTGGTAGGCCGCAAGAGTAGCCTTAAGTTTTGAAGTACTTAGTTACTTAGTACTAAGATGTACTAAGTACTAATTCCTGGGATGCAGGAAAGCTCAGCCTTCTTCAAGGAAGCCCTTGCTCTATTCATGATTTGGTTCCTAGACTATTGGGGGACACCTAATTTAACATTTGTGCTTTAGTTCAAACATGTGAACACACTACAGTATGTCTTCACACAACATATACAAGTTTTTAGTTTTGTGTGCTTATTGATTTCAGAATGGGGGACCCATATGCTGATTTGCTCACTGGAATGCCAAGAAGCATCAACCTTGGGATCCCTAAGGGCACTTTGGAACTGGTGCCAGTCAGCCATGCTAGGCCTGGTCCCAACACCACTTGCAAGCCATCCTGGCCAGCTTGTGCTCAACAGTCAGAGCGATGTCACGTTCTACTTTCTGGAACTTTTGGGTAGCCTTCTATTCGCAGCAAGACAGTTGTTGTACTTGCCCATGTAGTTGTGACATGTTGTGACCAAAAGTATGTACACGATCGTACACTCATTACCTTTACTTTTTCCTAGCCGGTGTTGTAATGTCCCACACCCCCAGCAGCTTGATGACACACTTCACTGCATTCAAGCCTTGATTTCGAGAGATGGTTTTCTTGGAAAATAACATCTCTAAAGGTAGTTGGTCATTGTAGGCTCCTCTAGCTGTTCTTTTTGTTTGTGTGTTTGTTTTGCGACGCCGGTGATGCCAGGTGCCATTACCGTGGCACCTTGGCAGATGGCACGGAGTTCGACAGCTCGCAGGGCTCTGAGCTGTCGGGTTCTATCGACTTGAAACCAAGGGCTTTCCCAATGGCTCGCATGACTCTCAATATCCTATCGCTGTTTATCTATCACTTTGATTCTGTTGAGCCGGGTCCCGACATTCCCACATAGAAAGATTCGTTACTAATTGACTTGAAGTTTTCAGAAGCGACGAGAATCGTTCGGAAGTTCTTCATAGGTCGGTTCGCTGAAATGCCATAAGTATATCGGGCTAGTGACTGCTAGATCATGCTAGATCGTGGGGGACTTGCATGGGCTTTGATGAGCTGACAGATTCACACATTGAAAGCATTGCTTGAGGTATGACAGAGGCCCCATGCAGTTCAGGCGCGATGTGATTTTGGCAAAAGATATTTTTTTGTTTTCATGGGCTAGAATGCGGGCATTCCAACCAAAGGCCAGCTGTTTTCATTCTGTGGATGCTCTCTGCACGTTTGACCCTTTCGGCCTCAAATAAAGGAATTGAATTGGATGGAATTGGATTCTGCAACGAAGCTATTTGCCTGAGGTTTTTTATTGCCATGGCAGAGGTCACACATCCTGGGAAGAGAAAGCCCACGAATCCTGGTTTGTGAGGAACAAACCTGTGGGTTTTCTACTTTATATACATCCATCCGTCCATTCGTCTTCCTCCAACCAGGCCAGACCAGGTGGTCCCCGGCTGGTCGGAAGCCTTGCAGCTCATGCGCCAGGGGGAGAGGCCTAGGGCGTCCACGGCTGGTGGACGAAACAGAGATAACAAAATAATGAAATAAAAGGATTATTGTATATTCAATATCAGGATTGCCATGTTCTTTTTGTTTCTTCACAGAGACATAGCAAACACTGTTGTTAGTTGTTAGCCTTTTGGCAACACCATTACATTGTTGCAACTCCAATTGGTGAGAAGACACTTCCCAGATTCAATACAACTGAGATGTCCGGCTCGTTGCTTGATACTGTTGATGAGACCGTTTCAAGGCTATTTCTTGTTCCATCACGACATGCAATGACCTGGATCGACCTTTCCACGGACGGACCGACCTGGATCGTCGTCGACTCGTCGCGCCTGAGTCATTGCCATGGGAGGTGGGAGATCATCTTGCCCAGCCACCTTGCCTACGGTGAAAGAGGCTGGCCAAATCTTGCGCAAGATTGAGAGCATGAAGCCTTTCTGTGCCTGTGGAGACCGCACTGTGATAGGACAGGCGGCCATCAGGTCTGAAGATATGGGAGTTGATCTAAGGGGCATATAAGGGCTTTATGTAAAACGACCTTTTATAGTTAGATGCTGTCCAAACCGTCCGCGAAGGATCCGCGATGAGGTTCGCGAAAGTGTTTCTTTTGTGCGAAAGATTTATCGAATGCAGTTCCTTTCTACCGACACATGGTAGAAATGCAAGGCAATCCTCTGGCAGGGCCGATGGGCAGAAGTGTCCCCACTGTCACAGACTACCGAACTGAAGCCTCAACGTTTCCTCGCCCAGCCATCAAGGTTCTCCCATTCCTGTCCCTGCTCTAACAGACCAACAAACTGACAACTCAAATTGCCCTTGCACAGCCCTGATAATGCTTTCTCACTAGCGACCTAGTGAAGTTTCGTGAAAGATCTGCGAATTGAATGTGCCGCTTCCGAACTTGAGCCCCCACCAACATTCCCCGAGCTGCATTAATTAACCTGTGCTGGTAGGTGGCACGAGGGTTGGATTGAGTTGTGCCTAACTCTATTCTAAGCCTCCTCCAGGACATTCTTCGAGGTTTGTCGCACAGATGGTGGAAGTGACCCGGGACGAGCTGTAGCGACTCTCAACCTTGTGTGTAGGTCACGCTGCAAGATGCCAAGTCACTATTTTACAATATTTTATACTACTTGTTGACATTGTAGTTTCAACGAGTGTTAACTGGACATGGTTTTACGACCATGCTTCGCGATGAGGCTGCGAAACATTTTTCCCCGCAAAGAATGGACACCCTATGGCGAAAAAACATTGATCAACCACCGTAACACATGGCATAAACCAAGCTGCCTTGGCCTAAGCCAAGTTTGAAGAACAAAAATCTCAGGAGTCGGGCCAATTCCACCGAACGCCACACTGAACTTCGACTTGGAGCTCTTGGAGGCCTAGGGGCACACATCTAGCCGCGACATGGTGATTGGAAGAGTAAGATAATGTAAGATAGTCTGTGGAGGTTTCTGCTAAAATGCATGGCTTGGAGAGTAGAAAGTGATGGCCTTGAGAGTGTCAAAAAAGGTATGCATGCATGATCGATCCCTTCATATGACCCAGCTCTACTGAGTCTCTACTGCAAAGGCACTTTGAGATTTGTTGATAGGGAGAGGGGCTTAACATCACTTGTAAATCTCGTGATCATTCTGTCTAGGTCGGAGGCGACTCAGGCGTGGGCATGGGTTTGATTGGGTTTGTCAGAGTCGCACAGAAACTCAAGAAATGCACGCATAGACAGAGAGTGGAGAATTACAGCTGTTCTTGGCATGTTTGATTTTCAAGAGATGGTGCTGCCAGGAAGCCATGGACGAAGGTTCATGGTTCAAAGTTTTTTGCCACGGATTTGACACAAGGGATCTACAGATCTATATAGAAAAAACGAGAGGCATCTCATCTGCGCGCACACGACACCTGGTATCCCTCACCTGTACACTCTCACTTTGTTGGTCTCATTTACAACGAAGGGCAACCTTTTTCGGTGGGTTGCGACAACTTTCTGGGCATCGCGTGTTCAACAATCCAGACAAGTATAGACTGGACGTGCGGAGGTGTTTTTTCTCAGTTCGTATCGAAATTCCAATTGGTCGAGAGTCACAAGGGGCCGAAAGTTGAAACGCACAACTGCTGCAGCCTCTCACAGACAAGGGCTGAAGGTCAACGTCCGCTTCGGTGCTTCCTTTGATCTCAGGTGGATCCTTCATTTCGATGATGACCTTGGGAGCCTTGCTGCTGGTGGGTTTGCTGGGCTTCCTCGCCATTTGGCTCACCGGGAGACCGGAGAACCGACGAGACCGGGGAGAAACAGACCGATGTGGGGCCGTGGATGGACGTTTTTCGGGGGTCTTCCTCTTAAAGCCACAAAGCCACTGGTATATGTATGGTATTATGGTATTTGCCGAGTGGTAGGCCTTGTGTTTTTGCATTGATCATCACTGACTGGTGATCTTAAAGAAAGAATGACATATGGCATACGAGGGAAACAACATGCAGTGAAGAATGACGTGCAAGAAGACACAGACATGATTCATCAAAATGGATTATGAAGCTAGGTGCGGGGCTCCGCATTGCCCCCTCGCTGCCTCCCAGGAGCAAAGGGCTTCCAGCGGGCCCCGTGCTGCCGCTGGCCAATGTGCTTCATGCAAAGGGAAATCCTCATGTTTTCCTAGAGGTAGAGGCCAGGGCAACCGTATTTTCCTAAATGATTCGCTGTGGATCGGTGGGGAGATGTACTGGCAATCTTTGTAGTAAGAACTTTGGACATTTTTGGACAATAAATTCTGGAAAGGAACGCGAAAGGTCATAGACATCCAATCAAAGGTATTCAAAGGTGAGTACTGTCGTGTGCCTTCCAAAGACAAGGCTTCACCTCCTTTCGGGCCCCCCCATACTCGTGTGGGTAAGCCCAAACGAAATGCAGATTTCGTGTGGTGACATTCCCCCAAAAAGTGTAATTATCCTTTTTTCCAGCTTTCAAGGAGTTCGACATTGTGGCGGTATATCCACTGGTAAACTCTATTCGACAGCCTGGGATTCACCAATCCTTTGGATCGGTTCTTGCTTTGCGGCGGGATGAACTTCTTCATCCTTGACGACAGCCGATCCAGCTGCTGGGTGCCAAAGATCATCATCTTCTTCAACAAACCAACGAACGAACGAAAGATTGTCACTGCCCCCCCCTCCCACCCCCCGACATGCGAGTGAACGTTATCAACATATTGGTGAACAACCATGAAAATCATGAAAACACAGTCAACATAATAAACAGAAAGAACTAAACGCCTCCCAGGGGCCCGTATGGCCGTGACACCCAAGACAAGAAGCTTCGTTTGACTGCTTGGTCATCATGCCGTTGACTGAGGAAGGGACTGCACCACTTGATCCTCACATGCTTGTTTTTGGACAGCAAAGTTGCACCCCCCTGTAACCAGCACGAGGGAGCACCAGATATGGGAGTAGATGTGCGTATGCCATCTTCCGCTCTTCTCCATCAACATCCATCAACCATGGTTCTTACATCTGCAAACATTTTTTTGCAAAACGAAAGAATCAAGAATGTCCTCTTTGTTCCTCCACATGGGTATGTGTTAAGATAGGGAGACCGGGAGACCTCCCAGTTCGGCCTCCTGGAAGGTTCGGAGCATAGACCCAGTCTACCCAGCCAGGGCCCCCTGAGGTCTCCCTGAGGTCTCCCTATGAAAATACACATGATCCCCATGAAAAATTCACCTTCCTCCCTATAAAACGACACACCACACGTCTCCCTGGTCTTCCTGGTCTTCCTCTTCCCGGAAAGGCTCCTTCACCCCTTGGCCCTTTGACCCGCACCGGTGACCGCACCGCAGGCCGCGGGGCAGGCGCTGGGCCGGATCGAGCCGAGGGGCCCAAGCGCAGTCACCGGAGAGACCCAGGCGATGGCCTCCGCGGCCTCCACCCGACCCTAGCGATGGCCTCCACCCGAGTAGCGGTCTCCAGACCCTAGAAGAGACCCAGATGGAACCTGAACATGAGTGGCTTCGTCTGAGGAGAGTCATCTTGATGAATTTCAAGAGCAGCAGGTCACATCAGGTCCATCTTCCATGTGAATCTTCCCGGATAGATCATGAAACTTTCATGATCTGTGAGGATCCGAAGCAATGAAGCTTTGGTTGACATGAAGCTCTGTGAAACTCTGTGAAGCTTTGGAAACTCTGTGAGGATTCGAATGTCAACCTCCGGCGATGTCAATCTTCGCACTCAGAGGATCCCACTGCAATCATTCCCACGGCGGAAGGTATTGAAGAATGTGATCATTTGAGTGCTAAGACTCATGGCCGCTGTGGATTGAAAAGAACATATCCTCCAAAAACCATCAACACCTCTCCCATGCAGGTGACGTGACATGTGTGTTCTCCGACCATTCTGTTCATGGGCGCCTTTCAAACCTGAGTGTTTCACACCCACCGGCATGGTCCGGCATATGAATCGGTCCTTTTTTTGTAGTTCATTCACCCCATTGGAGGCTGCGTCCCCAAAAACATCAAAAAACCCGACGGGGTCGGGGCCACCGGCCACCGTGCCGAGGATGGAGCTCTTTCAGGACGTCGCCCCGATGGCGGTGGAGAACTTCCGCGCGCTTTGTACCGGCGAGAAAGGCGGGGGCACCAGGGCCGGGCCAGGCCCAGCCGTGACGCCGTGAGGCTTTTTCGTTCGATGCGTTCGGTATGTGGGACTGGCGTTCGTGAAAGGATGCCTGTAGGTATGTAGGCAGTTCACGAAGGAAGTGTAGAAAGTGTAGACTCATAATCCCCCTTGCAATTTCCTCTAGGAAATCAGCCAACTCGGGTTGTCAAAAAGCAGGCCATTCTTTAGAGTTCACAATCCATTTTTTAGAGTTCACCATGCATTTTTTAGAGTGGCAACGGAGTGTGATTCTTTAGAGGTGCACTTTTTGCCACACGCATGGACTGGTTGTGTGCTGTTGTCATCATGGACTGGTACCAGGTGTTCTGATTCTTTAGGGGGAGTCCGGGTGTCACAGGTGTGTGCGCACTGTGCTCAACGTGTTTTGATTTTTTAGGGCCAGTGCCCAGTATGTGTTGGCAGAGTCCTGATTCTTTAAGCTGACATGTTGGTATGGGCACTGTGGATTGAGGATTCTTTGAGGTGGCAGCTGGCCTCCTAAAGAATCAGACAGTCCAAGCGGGAGGCCGAATTGCAAGGGGGATGACTGATATACCGATATACCCAAAATGATATCTTGGACGATTTGGGGCATCCGGAACAATTCATGTTGCGTCTTGGAAACTGTTAATGTTCGACTGTGCACGCTTGTCATCGCTGCTCAGTGGAGGTCGAAATGGTTTCGTTACAGGTACAGAGCCAGTTGCAATGAGAGAATGCTTACCACCACCAACTCCAGCCATTGACTTTTACGTGTTTGAATGCATGGGTGTGCCATTCTGTAGACATTTATATATGTTTATAATTTATATATGGACTGTACACTGTACATCCTTTTATCCTTTTGATACACACCATGTTGCTGCTGACTATGTCCTTATTGCAGTGTTTACCTGTTCTGTTCACTGGGGTGTCATTGCATACTTTCGGAGCAAAATAGTAGGCTGGGGGTGGAGTACTGTACCAAGTGTTGCTGTGTCGTGTTCGTCACATGAATCCAACCCAAGACACAATGTTTGGAGAACAAATCTTTTCTCTTCGTGTCACGTTGCACCCTTGAAGGTGTTGGCCTCGCGAATTCACCGCGGCATTTCAAGGGCTCACCCTTTCACAGGAGCTGGGGTGATTTGTGGGCGGTTGCCTCAATGACTCAATGATAAGGATGAACAAATCAAAGATGAAGTAAGTACTCGTATGCGTGGAGATTCTAGATCCAATTGGCAGTAATTAGGTCAGTTGGTTCTAAACAAGACGTTCCAGAATGACTTGAGGTGAATAGACTTTAGAGCTTGAAACATGGCCTGGCCACGTGTCGATCTGTGTTGGCCACGTGTCGCTCTATCGCAGCGGGAGGATTATCCCTGGTTTCATGGCACAAGGTGGCGACATCACCCATGGCAATGGACGAGGAGCATGCTCCGTTCTGCTGCACAAAGCATGTTTAGCAGCTAACGGTCGTGGCCGGAGGGAGCTAGCTTGCGGCTCCGAATGTTGAGTCCAACGAGGTGCAAGGATGTGCAAGGTTGAAGAGCATCCTTATTATGAGTCATCTATCGCCTCCTTCTGATTCCAGAGCCTGCGCCATCACCACGTGTGCACCAGCGTTTCGGTCAACGCAGGATTTCTCCGTCAAATCAAACTCTCTTCCAGGAGGCGAGAGCATCTATGGCAAGACCTTCCGTGACGAATGGGAGCATGGCATTGTCCACCATACCGAGCCCGGACACCCGGTGACGAGAAGTCTGGACGTCGCGTCGGACGAGGTGGGAAGTCTGGAGGTGATGTCAAAGACAAATCATCAAACGCATGAGTTTCATAGTGTGGGGACCAGTACTATATCTACAAGATCTATAAGTTGCACAGCGTATCTCATGATGGCAAGATTTGCTCCCTTTGAACCCACACTCCCAAGAGCCTCAAATCAAGAAAGCACGTGAGACTTCTTACTAGACCATCGCTGGCCAAAAGATGATTGGAATCAAGCAGTTCCTCAGACTTTTAGACAAATGTTTCTCCAGGTTCCATACAGCTTGGGAAAGCACCTAGGCCGGGCTTGTTGTCGATGGCCAATCGCGGCCGCAATACCAACGGCTCCCAGGTGGGGGTGAGACGGGTCCAAACGTCGTGGTTTTGAAGAAGTGCTGTTCTTTTGCCCTGGAACGGGCACGAGAGAGATTTTTTATCGACATGTTTTGCACTATATATGCACTATATATATATTGTTTCAATCAATAATAATTTCCGCGTACTCGTACCGAGGTCTTAGGTACTGAAAATACGCATCCAAATGAAACAACGATATGTTATATACTTATATTATTATATATAATACAGTACAGTTCTATTAAATGCTTTTTCAGAACACCACGGTCGAGTATGCCTTGCTCCTATAGGCCCATCATGTCCCCTGGTTTGCCAGTTCTTCATCACTTTGGCTGCAACGCCTTGGCTGAACGGAAAGCATGTGGTCTTCGGGCGTGTCACGCCTGGTGCCCAAGTGGCTCAGAATACAGTCTCGCTTCCAGCAACACCTTATGCTGACCATGCATGACAATGCCTCATTGCTGCGCAGTTGTTTGCTGACCATGCTGAGGTTCGGTATGGATGTTGTTCGAGAGATGGAGAAGCGCGGCTCGAGGCTCACGCTCGCATTCATTTATAGAAGTTTACGTATTGAATATGTTGATCGATTACATTATATATATATGTTCTTGCGGGTTTGATGGACGCTTTTGATCGCAATGGTTGCGCTTGTAGCTTCCACTCTGACTTGTGTGAAGCCCATGAATTTTGTCGCAATTGATCTGCGATTGCCATCTCAACATATCTCAACTCAAGTGCTATCTTTCTTGGTTTGAGGGTCCGTTTGAGCAGCTTTTGACGCATCCGTTCGATGTTGAACCGTTCGAGATGTGTGGTGCTCGTTCGAGATCGGCCAGGAGCGGGACTCCCAGCGAAGAGATCAGGATTGTGCAGAGTCGGGGCGCCCGGACCCGCGGCGCGTCAGGGTTTTTTCTGGCGAGACATGTTGACTGTTGATGACTAAAAAACCTCGGCATATGAAGAGGGTGGACAAGAAAAACAGGGGTGTTTCCTTTATTCATCTTCCAGTCTACTGGACCTGCACTGGGGAGTTTATCGGTTTATCGTATGTCGATTCCTGCTCAAATGATCCAGGATTGCCATGGACCATGCCATGGTCTTTGTGTAACGAATGCAAATGGGTTTTGGACTTCGAGCTCAAAAAAAATGCCGAAGAGGGTTTCGACATGCTTTGACCAACCCCTGACATGGAAGCTTCGAAGCAACTCTGTAAACATTCCTCATGAATCACTGGTCCAACATAATCGTTGTTGACCCAGAATCCATGGAAGCAAGAAGATTTCACGGAAGGGTATTGTCTTCACCGCAACCAACACCACCAAAGTACGCAGACACCACACCAAACCCTCTGTCACCACTCCTGGAATCCGACCCGAAACCGTCCATCGAATGTGTGGTCGATGTTGGACCGGGAAGGCCTGCCGTCGGACAGACCAGGCGGCGAGCTCGGGCCAGATGGGAAGATCTTGGAGCCAAAGGTGGGGAGTCGCAGACATGGCCGAAGCAGACATGGATGTCAGCGCACAGGACGCTTGGAGCGTCCTTCACACCGATTTAAGCAGAGCAGCTACACGAGACATGTGCTTTCTTTCATGGGTCCGTCTCGTGTCATTCAATTGTTTCCAGAGTCTGAGGTCAGAGGTCCCGAACAGAAAATACCAGAGATCAACCATTGGGGTTGAAGCAGTTGAAACCCTGTGTCAGGTTGCTTCCACCAATGAAAGTGGGGAGAGCGGTTGATGTGCGAGAAAAAATGTACTTGGGTGTTGTTTGCCTTGACTCGCGGGTTTCAAGCAGGATTGATTTGTTGAAGTCTGCATGAGTCTACATGACACAGACCTTTTGTAGTCTACGGATCCTTAAGGAGATTTTCGAGAAAGAGTATGTTGCAATATGTTGCTTCCTGATCTTCATGGCACAAAGTAGGGCCTTGATGCAGTGAGATGTTGTAGATGCCTTGGGTTGTTTCCTGTTGCTGTCGGCTGCATGCCTGTGATGGCGGTCACTTCGCCCACCTGTGGCCATTAGCGGCTCGCCAAACTCCTCTTGAGCAATTTTCAGCCAATCCAAGGCGCGGCAAGACCTGCGTTTTTCCAACGCCCAGGGTGGCCGTGGTCTTCCGCTGTAGTGGATCCACTGTGTGGATCAATTTCCCACATAAATACATCCAGTTGATTCCAGTGTTCCATCTCCAGGTGGAATCAGGTCGAACCAGGTCTCCAGGTCGGGCCAGTGGTCTTGTTTTTGAGATTTTTTGAGTCAGTGGTCGTCATCGGTCGGATCTGGATTGCAGTTGAATGGCTGACAGGAATGGATACTTATTGAATGGACGTGGCCACCATCAGCACCAGTGGACCACAGATGGGCCAGCAGTTTAACCTCATGTTTTGTAGGATATCCGGGACACCCAATGGTTGGGCAGGTCTCTTGTGTGTTTCTTTTTTGTCGTTTGGTTGAGTGCCCCATGGCAATGGGCCTTTGTAAAACAAAGGATAGATACAGGACTACAATGGACTACAGGTAGTATTAGTATGGTACAATACTTTACTATACTTACTACACAGATCTTATATGTCCGCTACTTTGGATCTTTGGATTCAATGGTTTTGGCGACCGTTCCCGGCAGCAAATCTCAACTTCGGGGTAACCCAATCTTTTAGGGGTCTAGAAATTGGAATCTCCATCGGCAAAGGCATCCAAAGACCACAGATATATATTATATTATATATATTCATATACCATGCTCCCAAGGCGTTCCCAATTCTAGCTCCTTACAAATTAAGGGATGTTCATTAACCAACCCTGCGCGCCCTGGTATAACTCCTTCGGCAAACCGTTGTGAGATGTCCAAGCCACTCGCCAGGATGGGTGGCGACGGCAAGGGCTGGAGCAAGGGCTGGGATGGCAAGGGCTGGGGCCAGGTTCTCAGACGAGTGGTCGAAAACCGATTGAAACAAATTACGAAAGCCAGCCTTCGTAGAAGGCGCTAGCGGAGTTGTGTCTGGCGAACGAAGTGAGTAGTTAGGGGGTCTGGGGGGGGTGGCCGGAGAAAGGGACACGTCAACTCAGCACATGCTGGGGGAGGAGGGTGCTCCGAGGGAAGGTTTTTTGAGGTTGTGTTGGAGGTGATTTTTGAGGGGTGGTGATGCAAGAAATGCCAAATGCATCATCTGCATCATCTGAATGGAAAGGTGTAGTTGGCACCTTGCAAGGTAGAGAGACCTAGGGTAGCTATAGTGCAGCTACCAGGTATAGTACTTCAAGTTCCCTTTCCGTCAACCGCTTGAGAACCTCTACACACGCACAGCAAGCCACAGCCTTGAAGTCTCATTCGTGCTTTGAACTTGTATAGGTGTGTAAGAGGTATAGCAACATACTACCTGAGAAGCTGCAAAACGAAAGCCAGCGCTTCCCTTTCTCGAGAACTGCGCGTCAAAGCATAGGATAGAAAGGTAGGTCTGCACCCTAGATCCACCATCCCACTCCATTTTCTTTCATTTCTCTACGGCAGCTCCGCTTGGCATTTGCCAGGTGGAGGCGGCCGTGAGACCTCTTACACACCTACACAAGTTCAAAGCACGAATGAGACTTCAAAGCTGTGGATTGCTGTGCGTGTGTAGGGGCTATCGAGCGGTTGACGGAAAGGGAACTTGAAGTACTATACCTGGTAGCTGCAAGCAAGGTGCCAACTACACCTTTCTTTTCAAGGTGGCCTGAACAGAGTGTTTCAGGGCAGTAAACCGTGGTCTCAGGCCACCTTGAACTTAGCTTGAAAACCACAGCTACATAGCTACCCTGGGTCTCTATACCTGGCAAGGTGCCAACTACACCTTTATTTTCAAGGTGGCCTGCACAGAGTGTTTTAGGGCAGCAAACCCTGGTCTCAGGCCACCTTGAATTTAGCTTCAAAACCACAGCTTTGAAGCCTCATGCGCGCCATACCTGGGAACAGAATTGTAGCTACAAGACCTTTATTTTCAAGGTGGCCTGAACAGAGTGTTTTAGGGCAGCAAACCGTGGTCTCTGGCCACCTTGAATTTAGCTTGAAAACCACAGCTACATAGCTACCCTGGGCGTCTATACCTGGCAAGGTGCCAACTACACCTTTATTTTCAATGTGGCCTGAACAGAGTGTTTTAGGGCATACGGACCCAGGGTAGCTACAAGTAGCTACAGTTCTGGTATGGCGCGCATGAGGCTTCAAAGCTGTGGTTTTCAAGCTAAAGTCAAGGTGGCCTGAGACCAGGGTTTGCTGCCCTAAAACACTCTGTTCAGGCCACCTTGAAAATAAAGGTGTAGTTGGCACCTTGCCAGGTATAGACACCCAGGGTAGCTATGTAGCTGTGGTTTTCAAGCTAAATTCAAGGTGGCCTGAGACACGGTTTGCTGCCCTAAAACACTCTGTTCAGGCCACCTTGAAAATAAAGGTCTTGTAGCTACAATTCTGTTCCCAGGTATGGCGCGCATGAGGCTTCAAAGCTGTGGTTTTGAAGCTAAATTCAAGGTGGCCTGAGACCAGTGTTTGCTGCCCTAAAACACTCTGTGCAGGCCACCTTGAAAATAAAGGTGTAGTTGGCACCTTGCCAGGTATAGAGACCCAGGGTAGCTATGTAGCTGTGGTTTTCAAGCTAAATTCAAGGTGGCCTGAGACCACGGTTTACTGCCCTGAAACACTCTGTTCAGGCCACCTTGAAAAGAAAGGTGTAGTTGGCACCTTGCTTGCAGCTACCAGGTATAGTACTTCAAGTTCCCTTTCCGTCAACCGCTCGATAGCCCCTACACACGCACAGCAATCCACAGCTTTGAAGTCTCATTCGTGCTTTGAACTTGTGTAGGTGTGTAAGAGGTCTCACGGCCGCCTCCACCTGGCCAAGCGGAGCTGCCGTAGAGAAATGAAAGAAAATGGAGTGGGATGGTGGATCTAGGGTGCAGACCTACCTTTCTATCCTATGCTTCGACGCGCAGTTCTCGAGAAAGGGAAGCGCTGGCTTTCGTTTTGCAGCTTCTCAGGTTTGCATGTTGGGTCGGAAACAGCTTGCTTTCGTTGTATGAGCAGCAGTCAAACAGAGGGTATGTACAGCAGAAGATGTGAGCCACCTTCAATGTTGAGAATTTGCAAAAAAAAGACTGCTAAGCGATGCCCCCCCAAAGCGATGCCCTACCCACATGTTGAGGATGAACATTGTCCACGACGTGTGTTTGTTTGACATGTGTTTAGTTATTGCTGTCAAGAGCCTTGATCTGAAAGGGAATGCCATGTGTTCTCGTGACATGGCCCACTGAAACATGGTTTGCAATCAACAAAGATGATGCTGTTACAGCTTGGTGAATGTTCTTAGCTACTTGCAAAGCTCTTCTAGGGTCAGCTGAGCTTTGCTGTTGCCTTTGACTCGAGTGGAGTTTGTTTGTTTGCTTTCTTTCAGTGCTCTTGCTCATACATCCACTGGTTAAAACCTGTCTTTAAGATTACAAGAAAGCGATGCCTTCCTTCCAAACTGAAGTCTAAAGTTGTCCAAAACTGAGGGAAGCGATTGGCCCCCCGAATCTATGTGATGGTATGAGATTGAACCAGGAGGTTTGACAGCCGCACATATAATATAGCTCCATATATATCATCTCATTATTGTAAAAATGATATCCCACTTGTGGCACAATGACAGATGTTTGTTGATGTTGAGAAATACTGTATACCTGGCAATGTCATGCAATGCAATGTCAAGATTAGTTGCCAGGACTCCTACAAATTTATAATAGAAAGAGATCCATCACGCATTCACTGCAAACATTTGACCTGCTTGTCGATGTGCCAGTTTGCAGTACGAAGAGGCGTCCTCTCTTCACCACAACGGTGAGTGCGATCTTGGATACTATATTCTACTATGCATTCAATGTTTATATTTACAGCAGTCAAGGTCAAAACAAACATAGATCACTTTAGTAGGGAGGGAGCGGTTTTGCTGAGAAGGTGCACCAATCATGCAAAACAACTATTAGGAACAAGAAGCTACTAGGGGCTCCTGGCCTTACTACTAGCAGCAAGGACGCTACTAGGGCTCCTGGCATCGCTACTAGGAGCATTCTTACTGCTAGTAACAAGAGGCTATTAGGAACAATAAGCTACTAGTAACAAGTGCATCGTTACTAGTAACAAGTGCCTTACTAGTAGTAACAAGAAGCTATTAGGATCTATTAGGAACAAGAATCTGTTCACCTCCGGTGCCCGTGTCTCCTGCAGTAATTGAACCGTTCGAAAGCGATAGCGAGCCCCGACGAGAACGATGGACCCCGGCCCACGGGATAGACCCACGAACCTAGATATTTCGATCGATATAGACAGCACCTGAAAAAGGAAGTCCTTCATCCATGTTCAAGCCTGTTAGGAATAGATTCCAGTTCGTTATGTTGAAAGCATGTTGGTGTCCACGAAGCCATGGAAACCATCCGTCTATACAGCAATAGGCTGCGCCCACCGTTCCAAAACGATTTTGACGGCGCCTCGTATGCTGGTTATGTATGGTTGTGTCACCGAACCAAGGCTACGGTATGCCAATGCCAATGTACGGCATGATTCCACCGATGTGGGGCATGAAGGCGCATCTCGATCATCTCGTTTGGGACATCCAGTACTCCAGTACAGTAGTAGGACACAGATGTCAGTGTAGGGAGATACTGTTTTCTGTAGTAAGACAGAAATACAAAAGGCCCTACCAATCCTTGTTTTTGGACATACAGTACAGAAGTACGTCCT